GGCGTTTTTATTAAAAAAAATTAAAAAATATGCCGGAAGCAATAGTTCCAGCATTTTTGTATAAAAAACCTATTAGTTCTGGTGTTTTTTGTATGTAAGAAAACACCAAAACTGAATTGCAGAATTACGGGCTACTAACCGCAATTCAACTTCAAAATCCGCAATATTGCGGAATTTGAAAATCATTTGCGGACCCATCCTTATTACATATAGAGTTCCAAACAGGTTGACCAAATTCAGGTAACCTGACAGGTTGACCTGAATTTATTATCAGGTCAGGTTTAGCAATTGCAATTCAGTATCAGTTCAGGTTGTAATATAAATATAACTTGAATGACCTGTTGACCTGAAACTATAATTTTATATAAGTGAGTTATGGTATTATAATTCACTTTTCATATTGATTTATATAATAAAAGTGAGTTGCGATATAAGTATTCACTTTTTTATATTGATTTTATATTTAAAAAGTGAATTACAGTATCAGAATTCACTTTTTTATATTGATTATATATATAAAAAGTGAATTGCGGTATCAGAATTCACTTTTTATATTGATTTTATATAAAAAAAAGTTAGTTGCGATATTGCGATTCATCTTTTTATATGATTTTAATATAAAAAAGTGAATCACAATATTTCAAAAAAAAAAATGTTTTGCACCATTTTTTTTTGATATTTTAATAAAAATCCAAAAATTTTCAGGTTTCAGTTCAGGTCAGGTCAAACAAATAATCTGATATAACCTGACCTGACCTAATCTGACCTGAAAAAAATTTCAGGTCAGGTTTATCAATTAACATGACCTGACCTGATCCATTCAGAACTCTACTTACATATTAGATTGAATGAAAAATTCACTATAATAATAAAATAATTGTTAAATAAAAAAAGATCCAATTTTTATACAGTGGCCATCAAAAATAACGCACCACCTTAATTGCCAATCAAAAATCATAATAAGTTTCTATATTTAGTTCATCATGTGATGCAATAAACAAATAAATTTTAGTGTGTTTTAATTGGACGAATTTTAAATTACACAACAATTTGTAAAAAATTGCCAGTGCGTTACTTTTGACGGAAATTGAATTTTATTTATTTTTTTATATTTAACAAAAAATATGTTAAAATAAATTATAAAATTCCTTTTTAAAAACAAAACTACCACCTTGTATACCCTCTTCCAGCTTTTAAAACATCATTAATTCTCTCTGGCATTGTATTTATTAACTTTGTACATGCCTCTAATGATGTTTCATTCCATATTTTTGAAATATGTTCCCATAGCGCATCGTTACCCCTAATTTCCACATTTAACTGTCTGAGACGACGGTCTACATCATTCCAAAGGTGTTCAGATGGCCAACTGAGTAACTGAATATTATTTACCTCAAACCACTCCAAAGTACGTTTTGCTGTGTGCTTTAGATCATTATTCTGTTGAAAAATTATATTTGAGCAGTTTAAATCACAATATTTTAATGTTTCTAAGAAGTCTTCATCAAGAATTCTTCGATATAATTCGGCATCAAGGCCACCATCAATCTTACATAAGTATCCCACTCCAAGAAAGGTAAAGCATCTCCATACAAAGACACTTTCCCCACCAAACTTAACTGTAGGCTTCACATGTCGAGTTGTAAGAGCTTCTTCAGGTTTTTTCCAGCAATAAGCATGGCCGTCTGATCCAAAAATCTGAAATTTGGACTCGTCAGACCACACAACTTTATTCCAGTCACTCACCGTCCATGACTTATACTTTTGCGCAAATTTCAATCATTTTTCACAGTGAGTTTTTGACAATAGAGGCTTCTTACGTTTTACCCGAGCAAATAATCCATTTCTATTTAATGCTCTGCGCACTGTGCTTTTACTTACTTCAATATTATCAACAACTTTTAGGGATTTTTGGACGTTTACTGCTGTGGAACACTCATCTGTCATTATACATCGAACTATAATTCTTTCATCACAGTCAGTTAACTTGCGTGAACATCCAGATTTTGGTTTGTTTTCGATACTCTTAGTCTCTTCATACTTCTTTTTTAGTCGTAAAATACTTGTATGGTGAACATTTTTACCAATTTTTGCGGCTACTTCTCTTAAACTAAACCTCAAGTCTAATAATTGAAGTGCTCGAGCCCTTTGTTCAATTGTTAGTCGGTTTGACATATTTGAAGTAAAAAAAAATTAAAAAGAAGTATTAAAATAACTAATAAACACTTTACATTATGAAAACTTTCTTTGAGTATTTATGTAAGTCTTTGAAAAAACATAATTATTTTGTTTTGACATAAACCGTCATAAGTAACGCACCACTAAAAAGTGATAAAATATGTAGCTTCGTGACAATTTACCAATAAAATTAAGCCAAATTTGATATGATGTAAAAGATTATCGAGTATATTTCTTAATTTAGTTAAATTTATATTTATTTTATCAAGTATAAAAAATAATGCACGTGATTTTTGATTGGCAATTAGGGTGGTGCGTTATTTTTGATGGCCACTGTATAATAAAAAAAAAGAATTATTTACCTATCAGGAGGAATTTCTTTACATTTATAGCAAGAAGATTGTAATAATTGCTCTTGAAATTTTTTTAAAGCATAAATAGTAAGAATAGTAGCAGCTTGTTTTCAAATAGGCTGGGTATTTTATATATAAGATTTAAGGTACATTCTTTATATTGAGAAAATTCATTTGTTTGTTGTCTGTTGTCTAATGCAGATTCAAATGCATTGAGAAATGTTGACATGGAAGTAGTAGCATTAATGTATCCTTTCATGAGATAGTTCATACTTTTAGCACGTTATATAATTGACATTTCTGCCATAAATATATTTTGATTAAAACATACTGCCCATTTTTCTTTATGTTTTTTTAGAGTTTTATAGTAAACAATAATTTTAAAATTCAAAGTTAACGATCTCCGCATCCGGTGATTCGATTTTTATGATCTTTACGCGGTTGGATTCAGCTCATCGAGAGGATTCCAATGATATGTATTTCATATCTGTAGCATCAATATTGACGGAGTTATTCATGTTTAAAATTTTATATTAAATTATAATTATAAAAATCACATGACTATGATGTAATTTTGACCATTTCGACTTTAATTTTGACTTTTGACCTTCCCAAGTCGAAATATTTCTACTTTTGGGCTTTAATTTCAACTTCATGTATAATAAACATGGGCCTGAAACCAAAACCTTTTGAAACCCTTTAGGTTTCGGTATATACCGAAACTTAGTTTCAGGATGGATGTTTTTTTCCCAAAACTCGAAACCTGAAACTGACCCGAAATTTCTGAAACTTTTATATACCGAAATATAACCGAAACCTATTAATTTACTTAATTAATTTTTATTAAAATAACTAAAATTATAACAATATTGAATTACTATCTGACATTTTATTAAAAAGACTTCTCAATTAAGTCCAATCATTTTTATTTTTATTTTTTATTTTTATGTTATAAATAGACTGTCATACAAGAGATTTAAGACATTACATAATAAAATATGAATACTAATTAAAATATATAATTGTATGAAACTCCCACTTGAGAAGCCGCCCACCTTTTCAGTTATTCCCAAGACGAGAAGGCATGGCCTGCTAGTCCATAACATAGTAAGGGGTAGAAACCATACTAGGGAAGTGATATCTATATTAAAAGAAGAATGAAAATTAATAAAATTAAAAAAAAAACTATATCAGGTGAATTAATGTGAGACAGCCAAAGGCTTGAATGTAAAAAGTAAAGATAGTTATCAAACACGATATATTGAATATCAATCTATTAATTATTTAAATTGCCACGTGATTATTCAATCAACGAGTTTCTGGATATTGGGATTAGTTTCGAGATAACTGAAATTAGTTTCAGGTTTCGGGATTTATTTAGGGTTTTGGAACTTGTTTAGGGTTTTGAGTGAGGTTTTGGGTGAGGTTTCGATTCGTATATTCCAAAACCCGAAACTTTCAGAAATCCTCTCAGAGGTTTCAGGCCCCATGTTTAATGTATAACCAGGTCATCACCTTTTTATATAATTCACAGGATTGATTTTGTTATACGCTTTTAGAGAAATTACGTTAATATGATTGCATTACGAAAATCTGATTAACGGACTCTTCTTAATATAACAATAAAAGAATTTAATGCTATCCATATGTAAAGATCATCAAGGAGTTCTTTTACAATAATATACATAATAATTTTGAGAATATGTGAGAAAGTTTGAGAATAAAAGTCCCTAAATCTTCGCTGGCAATCTTATTGCCCAATAATTTGCCGATTCAGATTTCCTAAATTACCTGTATTAATATGCGAGTAATAAAAATTAGTACTGTATGTACATTGAATTGCTACAAGAAAAATATTTGACTACATTGCTCAGGTCACTTTGTGGCCTAAACGTCTTTTATTTGCAATACATTAAGTTAAAAAAATTATATAATGCAGGACTAGCCCTAAATATATAATGCCATTCCATGACTTTAGACTATTTATTATACACAATTATTTTTTTGAACGATATTCATCTATTCTAGTTTTTTTTCTAAAGTTTGCCAATACATGCTGTGTCATATAATAATTGTGAAGATTCTTTATTTAATGATGTCTTACTACGCAAAATATATACTGCTATGAAGTAGATATGACGTACTTACTGCACATGATATATTTTAGAAAGCCTGTCAGCGTATAATATCTAAGTCACCCATGTGATTCAAAAAAAAGAAACGTAGTAATAACTTATAGGACAATCGAGTACCAAATATGCAAAATTCTCCTAGGCGGTTACCAGGGATATAATAGGATTCATCATTGGAGAGAATTTTCTTCATTATATCTACTGTATTCACTGTATCTATTATATCCTAAATCGTCTGGCATCTCTTCTTCAGAATCATCAGAATCGGAGTCATCATTACATGAATTGGAATCACTATCATGTGGTATTAACTTCATTCGTCTCATCAAAATACACATCATCATTTGAAGTGACAGTGTTCACTTTAGTGGGATTCATTTCATTGAAAAACATATCTTCATCAAATCACGCCTCTTCTTTGGAATTATTAGAAGTGTTAAAGACATGGACTAATGGGATAGGTGCAATTGATTCCTTTGGAGACAAGACCTCTAATACATTAATCTGATCAGGTTCCTCTAAGACCTCATTATCTTGTTTTACATCCTTGGAATTATCAGTGAATTTCATATTGGAATTTTTGGTAAAGTGATCTATGATTCTTTGAATTTCTTCATTGGTAAATTTTGAAATACTGTTCACACTGTATGATTTGATATGTTTGATCTTATCTAATCCTATTCTTTCAGTTAACCTGTAAATCTTTCTAGCTCTTTCAATTTTCTTATATAGAGTGGAATGCTTAGTGTCAGGATTCTGCGCAAGTATGAAATCATAAATTAGTCCTTTGGCTTTTTTCATGCCTATTCTATCTCTAGCCATAATTTCATCAATGTTTTTATCAAATGCTATAATAAAATTACTCCAGCATAAAATTTCTGTCTGATTAACTTTTATCAATACATCTTTTGCATCACAAGCTTTTTCATATAAGTTAGCTATATTTTGTAGAATATCTGATTTTCCCTGATCTGAGATCAGCGAAATTTCAGTCACTTGAGATATGATGTCATGTGAAGTACCTCTCAGCTGATTCTGGATAGATGCGTTACAGCTGATACTAGTAGATATTTCTTTAATCAAGTCTTCACAAGCTGAAGCGCCCTGCTCGTTTTTTCGCTCATTTCATCTATTACTAATTCCTTATCTTGTATATCTACTATTTCATACTTATCATTTTTATTATCATATACAAATGATATTTCTTTTTCTTCTTTTATTACTACATTGTCTTCTAATCCTTTTTTTTATATTCTCTATCCATAAACTTTATTTTTGCTCCATACCTTTTTTCTAGAAATTTTTCAAAATTATATTTGTTATTATTAAAATCTTCTTTACATTCATTTCCAAATTCTTTATTTATATCATCCTCATCCTCTATTTCCAAAATTTCAAAATTTCCTTCTTTTTTATCAAAGTTTATTTTTATTTCCTTTCCTAATCTTTTTAAAATGTTCTTTTTTCCTATATTTTTATATACTCTTCCTTCAATCATTTTTACATTTCCCTTTCTAAGATCTTTTAATAACCTATCAATTTTAATATATTATTATTTATATCATTTTCGCATTCATCAAAAAATTGCTGATCTTCTTCCACATATTTTTCTGCTTCTTTCCTTAATTTATTTAATACTTTTTCTAAATCTACCCTTTGGCCCTTACTATACCTTATTAAAGCCTTTTCAAATTCTTCATATTTCAGATCTCTGAATTCTATCATTTTTTCTACTGACTTAAATTTCCATCCTGAAAAATAGTCATTTACTTTTTTATCAAAGTCTTCCATAAAATCCTTATATGACGGATATTTTTTAAACATTATTCGATTAAACTCATCTTTTACGGCTTCTTTACTTAAAGTTGCTCCTGCTTTTTTCCATACAAATGGAACCATTATACCATTTTCCATATGATCTGACCATCTTGATGATATATTAAAAGTTAAAATATTTTTTCTCTATATCTTTTTTGTCTACTTATTTCTTGTGCTTCTTTTGCTCCTATTGCGTCCCAATCTACTATAGCTAATTCTTTTTCGAATTCTTTCTTTTCCATCTTTTCTTTATTTTTGCCTCTATCTCCTTCAGGTGGGTCAAAACTTAGCCGAATTGCAAGAGGACCATCCTCAGGTTTATCTAGGTCAAATACAATAAAATAATAAATTCACCTTTCCGAAGGTAGCTGCTAATATCATCCCCTATTTTTGACACGTGATGATAATCATTTCAGATTATCACTTAAAATACCAGTTCCCAGGAGAAAAACTTCAGGTAGGCTTTATTGTATTGCATTTCACAGGCCAACCCATTATAGGTGTTAAAGGTGTCAAAATGTCGAACAGCCCATCTGAAACTAATGCTGATTCTGGTTCGTAATTTCGTATATTGGCTATTTGTACTCTTTACTGTATTCTAATGTCTTGTATACGTCTAAAGAGCCCGCTCTCGAAAAAGAGTTTGCGAGTTGAAGGACTCATCTGATCTCAAGGATGAGAAACAAAACACAGCTTCTGAAACTAAATCCTTGATAATAATGAACGAAGAGTTTGCAAAGAGACTAGGAATCAAAGAATTTACGGAAAATAAAGACGAGTGGGTTACGGTACGTAATAAGTCTAATTTAGCTTGGTTGTATTTTTACTAATATATCCTTTTGTTTAGGCTTCAACACCTATGAGCATCGCGAAGTCTTTGATTACATTGTTGATCCCATTTGGAAGCCAAACGGAAAGGAACTTGCAACAAATACGATCGAGTATCGTCTACTTGAATCCGGAGATCTTGATGAATCGAAAAGAACACACGTATTACTCGTTCATGGGAAAGTAATTAGGTACGGAGACAAGATATCTTCAGAAGAACACAAAGAATTACAGAAAAAATTTCCAGGATGCTTCTACGCACCTACTGTTGAACGTATTGTTGAGTTATGCAGATTCTCAGCTGTTAATGATAATGAAAGGAAAGAGTGGCAGGTTTGTATGATTTATTTAATTTATGATAATAAGGTTATTGACGGGTATAATTTGAAACTTTATATCTGTCAATGCCTAATAATGGGAATGGTGTTACAAAATTTTAGTCGCATATTATTCTTCGAAATGTTGATAATCCTAGTGACGTAGTAACAATGGCAAACACTGAATTAATGGTAATCGACACTGGAGCAAGTATAATTATAATTCCATTTTTTTTATGAAGAAGATTGGCGGATGGTTGGGAAGAATTTACTGTTCGATCTGGTGGATATTGTTACAAATATTGTTAACTCTAAAAGATGTAGCAAAAAAAAAAGAATTAGTTCTAAAAAATTAGAAAAAGAATGAGGATTTTGGAAATTCCACTGGAAATTATTATGTTCATATCTACTTTTTTTTGTTAAGCGATAGATCTGAGCAGGTTTTTACACAGTTTTCCATCGGGATAGAGAATATGTATTAATATTTAGATGATATTTTTGAGAATGAGTCAGGTTTTTACCCACTTATCTGTTGCGCCAGAATTTGGGTCAATTTTTTAAGCAATAAATTAGAACAGATTTTTTCACAGTTTTCTGTCGTAACAGAGAATTTCCAATATTTAAGTGATACATAGTTTCTATCGTGCTAGTATACATATATTTTGGATATTGGTTTTATAACCGTAAGAACAGTTGATAGAAGGAATGAAATCATAAGGATTAGTGAAAGGAATGGGAGGAATGGAAGAGAACAAAAAATTTTAAGGAAAACAATTTGATATTTTTGAGTTAGGAATTATTGAAGGATATACAGAAGAAAAGATCCATTACAAAGAATTTCGCTTGTGTAATTATGTTATAATAACTAAATATTACAACGTAACTTTATATAAACCGAATAGAAAATAAATTTAAGTTCATACAATAATGACTTTGCAAGCTTTTATACTAATTTACAAATATTCTTTATTAATTATTGTCTATATATTTTAAATATATTATTAATAATAAAAAAATTTTTTTTTTTTTTTTTTAAAAAAAAAGAAAATTTCTAAACACTCTCTTCTCAAAAATTGTGTCAATTTATCATCACACATCCCTTTAATAACTCTCATGTAACCACAACTTTGTTGGGTGTTCAACCACGTAACCCTTACTAGCTGTTATTACTACTCATTTAAGACAAAAATAGTTAATTGTTTATTTCAAAACTAGATAGCCATTCTTAAGGACAGCAATGTTCTTAGTTATCTCAAGAAGGCGCTCTTTATTGCGCGCATCCTCGTGGATTCGCTTACGAAATGCTTTAATAATTGTAGTCACTGTAAGCTCACTATTCTTGTTGATTATTTGCCGAACTTCTCTCTCCAAGATTAATCGGGAGTTTGAGGAGTCGGTACCTTGAGTAGCTGTTGATGTCTGAGGACCAGAAACTTTATCAGTTCGAACTTTCTTGCCTGTGAAAGACGTAGAATCTTCTCCTTCACGAACACGCTTAACAACCCCGCCATTAGATGTGCGAACAGTAGATGAAATATTTGCATTTGCTGAGCGATTAATACTTGCAGTAGCTGTTGAAGTTTCACTTTGCTTAGTCCGTTTAATGGATTTATCATCATCAGATACAAAAGAATCGTGTGCGGACGATTTCTTTCCAAAAGAGGTTGCCATCTCTGAGACAGGCTGTCGAACAGTAGTAGCAGGTTTTTGCTTTTTGAGAGCAATTTGTGATTGAGACGCGGAAGTTTTTGATGATGTAGGTGAAACACTTTTCACACTTTTAGGTTTTGAGGATGGCTTTTTCGTTGAGTCTTCGGGAGTAGATGACATTGGAATTGCAGTCATATTTTTAACATGTGATTTTGATGGGACTTTCGCAGCAGGTATATCACTACCTTTCAATTTTTGTTTCACAGGTACTTCTTCACTAGCCGACAAATTAGAGAGACTTTTGATTGGTTTAGCAGCTGTTGATTTTGTTTTGGACGCTGTAGCAATCTTTCCTTTTGGTTTTTCAGCAGTAGATTTCGCGGGTGTTTTACCTTTTGTGGACGTTTTTGGCTTAGTAGGTGCTTTACCTGCAGGAGAAGGTTTAGTACCAGCAGCTCCAATAATTGGTGTTATTGCAGGGGATTCTGAACTTAATTCTTCTTCAGATTCCTCAATTTCACTCGCGTAAGGATTCGATTCTTGATCACTGTCGTCATAAGCTTCATTGTCATCAAATTTTCTTACTAACTTCTTTAATTGCATTCCCTCCTGAGTTAATTTAAAAGAATCTTCATTCTCATCTTCTCCTTCAAGAGATGTGGGTTTGTGAATGGCTTTTTTCTTTAATTTAACAACTTCAGCGTTTTCTTCATCAATAGGATTAGCATCATCAGGCAATTCCTCTTCGTCATCTTCAAATACTTGCTCAAATTCCATCTCTTCATCGCTTTCAATTCCTCTTCTCGGTCTTCTTAAACCTTCATCATCAGAACCAAATAAATCTTCTTCGTTTTCAACAGTCTTCATGACTGATTTTAGTTCAACAATACCACCTTCTTCATCTGCTATTTTTTTCTCATTGTCATTTTGTTTACCCCATCTGCGCATCATCCAGCGATCATTATCTCTCTTTTTAGCTCTTGCCATCTATGAAATTTTCATGTTTAATTTTTAGCAAAAAATTTTATATAAATAGATTTTATAAATGAATAATATATAACCTCTTCTTCTGCTTCCTCAATCGTAAGAGTCTTATACTTAATTTGTGGGCGGAATGCGTACCACCGATGTGATGGAAGGAATCTAAGTTTATTCTCCTAACATAAAATTTATATTAATCTTGATAACAAATAAAATTAATAAAAGTTAAAATAATTACATCTTGTTTATCCTTTATCAAGAATCCGTATTTGGCATCAGTTTCTTCAAAGTGGCCAACCCAAGTATTTGTACCATCATAATCTTCTAAAACCCACGGCAGTCGTTCTTCAGCTTTTAACTGTCTTTGTCTATCATCAGCCAAATAGATTTGCGTGGTTCTTTTCTTGAATAAATTTTTTTTATTATGTCTAGCACCAGCAAATGGTGCAATCTTAGAGGTATCTGCACCAGTAGTAGGACCTGTATGCTGTTGTGTCGTTTTTAATGTTGGCGCAATAACTATCTCATTTTGACGAGTATTTCCAGTTCCTGAGGAAGGCGCTTCGGGATCACGCCGATGAAGTTTTACTGGAGCTTGAAATTTGTCTAAGACATTATTTCCTCGATGTAACCTCATAAGATTTACTTTCTTAGCTGCATTTATCATCGAACCGGTTATGATAAATTCTTTGACAAGTTTTTTCTCTATTTGAGGTTTAACTGGCCTTTTAGGCAGAGGTCTATAAGCAGGTCTTTTAGAAGAGTCAAGTGGTTTGCGAGGTATACCTCTTGGCACTGGATGCTTGGCTTCATACTCTTTGTCTTGAATTGACTTATTTCTCGCTTCATCTGCAGGAGACTTAAAATACTTGGGAAAATCAGAAGTGAACTGATTTGGGTTTATTGACCGAGATGCCCACGCAGACCCGCTCGAGTAAATTGAATTTATCATCGATGGTTGACTACTTTGTGGATTATTTAACGTTACACTTTGATTTTCCATACTTGTCATATTATTTGGAACGGTATCGGCTTCTGTTTTAATATTTAAGTTTACAGACTGACCTGCTTGAGCAATTAGATTATTTGCAGGCTGATTGTTACTTTGAATATTCAAGTTATTTATAGCAGGACGGACTTGTAAAGTTGTATTATTTGTGGGTACTTCAGCCTGTGAATTTATATTTTCTGCAGATTTTTCTAAGTGGATCAATGAAGCAGGTCTTTGTACGGCTAACCTTTCTTGTTGCATTTGTTGCATGGCTGTATAATTTGGAGTAAGCATGCCTTGAAGCCCAGTATTTGTATCTGGTATTTGTGGGATTGTAGGATCTAAGCCTCCAGCTTGAGAATGATTTATATTCATATTTGTGTATGGGTTTTGTCTGTACACAGATCTACCGTCTAAGTTATTAATGGGAGTCCTTCCCATCAAGTTTTGGCTTGCATTATTAAAATTTTGTCTGGCTATATTTGGAGGTTGTGTTGGAGGTAAATTATTTTGAATCGGATTTTGAGACATTTCGAAGGAACAAATTACAAAAACTTTTGGTTCTGACTTTTGAATGTCTTGTATCTTGCTTTCAAACAAGTTTAACAAAATGGAAAAAAAAGGAGAAGTTCACGTGAATTAACCGTGACACAATATCTTCTGGAATGTTAACCTAGGAGATTGTGCGGACTAATGATGATAAACCAATCAAAATTGTGGATATTAAATAATTTCATGTTTTTGACGCGTAGGCATACTTTGAATACTTTGGTTAAAGAAAACAACCAAAGAAGCTTAACTGTTAAATAAAGTTTTAAAGTTTTTCAGAGTATAAAAATATTTGTATATTATTAACGCGTTCTGTTTTATTTTCAAGGCGCAATTCGAATACTTTGATTAAAGGGACAAGTGAAGGAAGCTTAAGTTGCCAGCAGGTATTATTTTTTAATTTATGGGCAAATCCAAGCATGTGTCTAAAAACCCTACTTTTTTATAGAACGCAAAATCGGATCGCTGAACAGGTTACATTCCCGTCAGCAAGATCAGACTACCCAGGTATGATACAAATTTCAGAGCTTAAATAAATTATTCAAGGTTGCATTTTCGGTCATATGCAAAACAACCATCGCAACCGACCGACTGGATGTGAGTGACATGTTACACGTATAATTATAAAATAGTTAGAGAATATTAACCAACGAAAATGTCGGATTTAGGCATTATGCGAAGGAAAATGGTTTTATCACGTGTTATGTTTATTGGCAACAAAATTTCCAAGTGTTCCGTTTATATTGTAATTCTGAGTTCTAGTGACATAGGTTTAAATAAACTTATCTGTTGTGCCCAATAAATGTTCGTATTTTTTTAAGTACTGTTATATTTTAAAATACATACATTTAAAAGTGCTTCCTAAGATAAATGCTGCGCGAAATTCTTATATTTCGTTTTTGTTTGTGACGTCATTCTCATGATCACGCGCACAAATTTTGATTATAAATGATTTATTTTTGCTATTTTTTTCTTTTTTTCTACCACAAACCTTTCCTACCTTCTCAAAAATTTAATTTCAAACATGCAAATCTTCGTAAAGACTCTTACCGGCAAGACTATCACTCTTGAAGTTGAATCTTCTGACACCATTGACCAAGTCAAAGGCAAAATCCAAGACAAAGAAGGTATGTTCCTTTTTTTTTGTATATAAGTAATAAAAAGTACGATCTTTTTATCATTCCTGTGTCGCTTATATTTGACTTCTTTTACAGGTATTCCTCCAGATCAGCAACGCTTGATCTTCGCTGGTAAACAGCTGGAAGATGGACGTACTTTGTCCGACTATAATATCCAAAAAGAGTCAACTCTTCACCTTGTTCTCCGTCTTAGAGGTGGTATGCAAATTTTCGTTAAGACTCTTACCGGTAAAACTATTACTCTTGAAGTAGAGTCCTCAGATACCATTGACCAAGTTAAAGCGAAGATTCAAGACAAAGAAGGCATTCCCCCGGATCAGCAACGCTTGATCTTTGCCGGTAAACAATTGGAAGATGGACGTACCTTGTCAGATTACAATATCCAAAAGGAGTCAACTCTCCATCTCGTGCTCCGTTTAAGAGGTGGTATGCAGATTTTTGTAAAGACCCTCACCGGGAAAACTATTACTCTTGAAGTTGAATCTTCTGATACAATTGAACAAGTCAAGACAAAGATTCAAGACAAAGAAGGTATCCCTCCAGATCAACAAAGATTGATTTTTGCTGGCAAACAGGTATGTAATACTAATAATGAATTAAAAATATTTATTTAGGATGATGTTAATTTAAATATATATTAAATCAACTATAGCTCGAAGATGGTCGTACTTTGAATGATTATAACATTCAAAAAGAATCGACTCTCCATCTTGTACTTCGTCTCCGGGGTGGTCAATAAACGAACCTTTTTACAAATGAAAAAATCCTTTCATATATTTGTTTTGTATATAAAAATATTTGGTTACATTAGCTTGATTGTCTGCTTTGCTAGAGAGATATATCTTTTTAATAGCAGATTATTCATGTAAAAACTAAAAAAAGATTACAATAAATAACCATGGTCTAGTTACTTCATAAGTTGCCTTTCCGTAGTTTAGCGCTAATATTATTGAATAAATAAAAAATTCTTTAATTCTATTATTGTCATTGGATAATGATAACATTGTACAATAAAAATCTTGGGGAATCTAGCATTTTAATCTCTCCAAAATATTCACTTTCAGGGTTATTGACTGGTGTATTTTAACGACTTCAATTAAACGAACTATAAATCTTATAAATCTAAGCGAAGTTCATATGAGCATTTATTTACATACAATAAATTGATTTTAGTTTGTTTATAAAATTATAATACATGCTCAAAATTTTTTAATATTAAAATTATAAACTTATGATTTCAAATAACTTTACTAAGTAAAAGTCATAACAAAAAAAGAGTCATCCTATTCATTAAAAAATTATAAATATAAAATTTTATTAATTAAGATTCAGCTTGTTGACGAGGTGGGCGATCGCCGCCGCCGCCACCACCTCGGCCACCTCTTTGACCACGCCCTGGACGTTCAGCAAGTGCATTCAAAGCAACTGGAGCTGTAACAGTAACGCCGCTCAAGTTATCAAAATTCATAGCTTTAAGAAGATCCTATAAGTTTAAATTAATTAGCTATTGCTTTTCAAAATATAATGAATATGCATTTTTTTTTCGAAAAAGTTATGTACCTTGGTATCAGGATCAATTTCAATAGTTTCGACAGATAAAGCAGATACTTCAGGAACATAATTATCTTTTCTCTCGCGTTCCTCCTCTTGTAATTTGAAAGAAATACCACGCACAGGTCCACGTTGAATACGTTTCATTAAATGCGTAGTGAAACCTGCTATTTTATTACGAAGTCTCTTGGATCTATAACAATAAGAAAGATTTTAACACTGAGAGATTCTCAAAAGTATCATAATTTAAAGTATGTGCTTACGCAATAATCGCGACTTCATCACAAATCTACCGTAATTCAATTTAATAAATATTAATTAATATAACCGCATTAAGTACCCAAAATCATAAAAAAAGTATACCTTTTTGTTGGTTTGGAAGTCGAGAGTTAGGCGTGAATAATATTTCTCAATGATGAGCTTGGACGCCTAAATAATAAAATCATTACTTTGAGCTTACTTATACAAACAGAAACACGGAATATTAACCTAGAGCTCACCTTTTTTACTGTCTTTGTTCGGACACGACCCTATTTAACAAATGCATAAAAGAAATATTCAAAATTAAAAAAAAATAATAATCATCAATTACGATAAATTAATTGAATCCGATAAATTAATTGAATCGATGTATGCATGGATCATTCAATAAATATCACTACCCAATCCATTATGTAATCACTTTCGACTGATAGATATAACAGATGGATATTGAGATTCTCTAGTTTCTTTCTTAACCTCTTTAAAATTTATTGCCCCAAACAATAAGAAAAAACTAACCCTCCATGATATATAAAATGCACAAGCACCCTAGAAGCCTAATTCCTTTGATAAATTTCTCGCAAAGTATAAATTCACTTACCATTGTTTACTGCTTTTTGAGTCCAAAAACTAAAAGGAAGAACGAATAGTTTTTGTAAATTAAATTTTTAAAAAAAAATTGTTTCACGTGATATAAATTTCTAGCCAATAAAATAAGATCTGATTCGATCGCGAGTAACAGATAAAATCTCGTAATTACTTTTACTTTTACTTTCCAGATAAGAAAAATTATCTAAACCTAAATAATTTTTAAAAAGAATATTATGGCAACAAAACAAGCATTACCAAATCGGACATACATTCTTCATCTTTATCGTTCACTTCTTAGAGCGAGTCAAAAATTTTCTAGTTATAATTTTAGAGATTATGCATATCGTAGAATAAGAGATTCTTATCATGTTAATAAGAATGAAACAGATTCCGATAAAATTATACAACTTGTAGGAAAAGCTGAACGTGAATTAGGTGTATTAAAACGCCAAGGTTATTTGAATAGTCTCTATTCTGTTGACCGTTTAGTAGTAGAAGAGAAAAATTAAAATGGAGGAATTTCAGGATATAATTAAGTAGGGTAGAGGATAAGGGGTTTTTCTCTTTATTGAAATGTCTTTTTTTACTTGTATATTAATATGCTTTTAAACATAAGCTCATTTCAATATGATGGAAACGTTCAACCTTCATTTTATATAAATTGGAAAATATTTGAATTTCATGTTAATATTGAGTAAAGCATAATTTGTTGATTTATAATTTTATAGTGGTATAAAGAAAGAAATAAGAATTGATTAAAATATTGGAAAGGGTAATTTCAAGTATTCTATAATTGAAACTTTTATTTTGCACTGTAATTTTCATAGAGAAAAAAGCATATTATCACTGTTAATTTTTTTTCATCAAACAAAAAAATTCTAATTGAATCATAAAAGATTTTAATAATAATAATAATAGTTTTGTAAGAGATAGTCATCGAAAGGATTTTTTTATTGCATTCTTTAAGAATGTCATTTTTTTTTAAAAAAAAGTCCGTTTTTTAAAAATAATGTTGTAATAAAATTAATTTGTATTAAAATATATAGTAGTTAATGTATATAAAGAACTGGCTATCTGATTCTTCACCCAAAAAAAAACAAAAAAAAAATTATAAATTTAAATATGCAAAAAAACTGAATAATCTATTGTTTTCTATTAATCTCTGATATAAAAATACGCCTAGATGCTTAAGCACCACCGCTAAGAAAATTAAAAAGTAAGGGTTAATTATGTTGATTATTATTATTAAGAATTTTAGATATTTTATACATACACAAGGATGTTGTTAATTGGAATATGAATTAACTTAACAAAGAAACCAATGAATCCCATGACGAAAAATCCCATAGCAACAGCCTGTGAGATTTTAATAAATTCTACAAACCAAAATTAACAATTTAAATACATTAAATTTTGAATAGCTCTTCCAACTAAAGAAAACCAGACTCTTACCTTTTCTGTCAGGCTTCGTACACCGATTTACAAACTGCGAGCCTTCTTTCATAAACTGTTTCGGCATTTCAATGAATTCTTTAATCTGGTCAGACATTTTTATTTATTCTGAAAGAAAAAGTTTAAAAAATAAAAAAAAAAAGTTATATTCGAAATAAAATAAAAAGACCTTTATATACTTTGGACATAACTAATAACAAATAAGAACCAATGAATCTTTGCCACGCCTTGCAATAATTGAAATGTAGGACAACATAATTTGATGACATAACACTGCGAAAACAAAAGATATTCGTCCTTTTTATTAATGACAAAAATACTTCGTCCAGTCGGTAATCTTGAACGATATTATATTACAAGACAAAATGTAAACTTTTATAATAATATTTTATTTTCTATAAGATATCAATGGGATGAATTATACAAATTAAATCCCATAATTGACCCAATTACAAATAATATAATTAACGAAGCTAAGGAATTCATTTTACAAATTCTCTACCCGTCACTGAAAAAATTAATACTAAAACAACCTTCCCTTTCGATTTCCCTTAAAGATACTAGATCTCCACAGCCATTATTTATTCTTCTCTCTCAAATTGATTTGTCTAATTTAATTAAATTTGTTGTAATTTCTAATGATGAAAAAGATTTAGTAAATGCTTTTGAACAAGAACATGATATTGCTCTTGATCAAGATGATGAAACAAAACCACTTTGGCGAATGACTATCGGGATAGCAACGAATTCGGATGGAAATACGCAAACGCGACCTGATTACGATTTATGCGTAATGTTTTGTTGGCATCATTGTATTGGAGATGGAAAAAGTGCTTATGCTATTCACAACACATTTATAGAATCTGTAAATTCTACATTGCAAGAAAAAAACAATTCTTTCATAGAACCGATAAATCCTTTTTCGAAATATATCATTTCCATTCCTGATACACATCAGATTTGTGAACCACTCGAAAAAAGAATCAATGTTAAACCAACTATTCCTCATTTATTAAAAGAAGCATTCATTGAGCTTTTATTACCATCAATTCTCAAAAAATCCTTGTTACCAAATTATTGGGCTGGTGATACGCACTCAAAAGATCTTTTAGATTACCACACAAAAGTTCTGTTGTATTCACTTGAAAAAGATGAATTTGAAAATTTGATTTTAATTACAAGACAAAATCAAACAACTATTCAAGCTGTTTTACATACCGCAATTTTATTTTCCTCATCTCACTATCTTAATAATAGTAATAAATCTATTAGAATAACTTCTCCATTCACGCTTAGACCTTATGCCACACCTCCAATTTCAAGTGATGATATGGGAAATTATGTAACAGAATTTTTATTTGATTACAAAGTTCCCGTTAATAGATCAAATTTTGATAACATTTACTTTTGGGAGTTATGCCGTCAATATAAATCTCAGTTAGAAAATGATATACCATCGTCAATACAACATGTTGGTATGTTAGATTATCTTTCAAAAGATAATAAATCCTGGGAAGATTTTTTTAAACAAAAAATGATTGGATTACCCATGGGTAGAGGTTATTCTTTTGAATTAAGCAATTGGGGAAAATATTACAATGAAAATACCAATACTTGCAATTGGAAAATTATAGATATGTTTATTTCTCAATCTGCTCAAGTTGTTGGTGCCGCTATAAATGTTAATAGTATTAGTTATAGTAACAAGTTAAATATTAGTATTACTTATCAAAAAGGTGCTATTTCTAATGAGAAAGTAAAAGAATTTAGTAATGGTATTATTAAATGTTTAAAATTAATTTCAAATAAAAATATTAATTTAGTTGAAGAATAATTTTTATATATATTATAAACAAAAAGTTTGTTTTTATATATGTTTATTTTAAAATTATATTTTTTCAAATAACTTAGCAGTTAAAAATAGTATTAATTCTTTTTCTAATAAACCTAACTATTTATTATTTTGTATATTTTTTTTTGCTAATTTACATATTACTAAAGTAAGAGAATATTATATTTTTTTAAATTTTTTCATTGTCTTTGTTTTTATTTTAAATAAAGTTTAGTTTTTCATTTTCTCACCTTATTTGATATTTTAATACTCAAATTTGTTTCCAAAATCCAAACTTCTAAACTAAATCAAGGTATTACAATAATCTCAATTTCTAAAGAAAAGTTGTTTTTTCATATGTTCAACTTTTTTAATTTGTATTTTAAATAATATTACAATGTTAATAATTAATAAAATAAAATAAACCATTGGCATAATGAATTTTATATATAATTTTAAAGTTATTTTATAGGATTATCTGTAAATATAAGGGTTATCTGTATATCTGTGAATATAAAAATTATCTGCAGATTATTCAAAAATTATTCATATTAAATTATTTATCCATAAATACTAAAATAACAAAATGAATATTCACAATCCATAATCTGTACAGATATATAAAAAATTCTATATAAAAGTTGCTTATTGATTATATAAAATTTACAAAAAATTGCTTATTTTAAAAGTATTTTTCAAATTTTCTTATTTTATATACTTCTATTTTTAAATAACTTACTGATTAGATTTTAATAAATTTTATATCATTAGATTCATTTTAATAAGAAAAATCTTATTGTATTTCTAATACTAATATTAGTTAAATTATTATAGAACTAAGATTATTATATTTTTTTCTTTTTTAGCTAATTAACTAATAGAATTTAAGTAAATCTTAAAGTAAAGTTGTAAAGTTTTATATAAAAATTAAAATTTTTTAAGTGATATTTATTAGTAATTGGCAGAATCCTATTATTATAAATTAAAAATTTGGCTATATATATTTACTAAATTAGATAAAAGTTTTATTAAAAATAATGTTTATATCTGATAATAGTAAATCTAATTGTATTAATAAAAAATAAGTATCTGGTTAAAATTTTTTTAATTAACCATTACTTTATATAATTTAACTAGCTATAGTCAACGCTCATTATAGTAAAGCTCGTTATAGTAAATTTGGCTTATAATAAACTTTTTTAATTTCCCAGTTCACTTACTAATAAATCTTGTTCGTTATAGTAAACTTACTAATAAAATCTCGATATTAGATATAGTAAACTTTTTTAGAATTTTACTATAGAACGTATATTATAAATATATTCTTGTTATAGTAAATATTACGTGAAATCATTAGATTTGCATTTACAAATCATTTTTAAACATATGCATGTAGTTAGTTTAATTTCCTTTTTTTTTAATGATAAACGCCTATTATTGTGATACAACTTTTTTTCGTTGTTCTTGAAAATGCCACCCGTTGGAAAAGACAAAAGAAAAGAAGTAAAAAAAGCTAATAAAAGAAAAAGTTTGTCGTTTGTGCAAAAAAAAGAATTATGTGAGTGAAAAAGGGATAATCCATCATATAATCAAAATGATCTTGCTAAAAAATATGATATATCAAACCCACAAGTTTCTAGAATACTAAAAGAAAAGGAAAAATGGCTGTATATTGATATTGCAAATAAAAAATTAAGTAATCAAAAAAAGGATAGAGGTGCAAAATTTCCAGAAATTGAATCTGCATTATATTTATGGATGCAGCAAGTATTAGCTTCAAATTTAACAATTACAGGTGACATATTAAAGGCTAAAGCTTTAAATTTTGCAACTTAATTACAAACAACAACTTTCACTACTTCAGATAGGTAGTTATCAAAGTTTAAAAAGCATTATAATATAAGACAATTTATTAAAGCTGGTGAAGCAAACAGTGCACCATTAGAAACATTAGAAGAAGAACATGTGGCTTTGCAAAAAATTATTGAACAATATGATCTTCATGATGTCTATAATGTTGATGAAACAGGTAAATAACAATTGGAGTTACACAAAATATCATATTATTAATTGTAATAATTTTGTATTTTTTAGCTTTATTTTGAAATTTAGAACCATCCAAGATACTTTCAGATCATGATATTTCTGGCACTAAAAATCAAAAAATCAGATTACAATTGTTTTAACCTGTAATGCTGAGAGTAGTCATAAGTTACCTGCATTAATAATACATAAGTGGTAGATTCCGCATATTTTAAAGGGAATTAAAAAGGATGATTTACCCATTTGGTATTATTGGAACCATACAGCTTGGATGCAAGTATCAGTATGGCGTGATTATCTTAATAAACTTAATCAATTAATGAGATGATAAAATCGCAATATTTTATTATTAACAGATAATGCACCTATACATTTAATTGATGAAACTATACAATTATCGAATATTAAAGTACATTTTTTTCCTTCAAATACAACTTCTCACTTACAACCTTTAGATGCTGATATTATTAACAGTTTTAAAGTAAGAATAAAATATACCAATTATTAATATTATTTGTTATAATTTAATATCTTATTATCTAAATATTTTTTAGACTCAGTATAGAAAATTTTAGTCGCAAATAGGGTGGAGACATATGATATGGCTCAAGAAAATAGTTCAAATATAACACCAATTGATATTCTTAATCTTACAACATTTGCAAGTGAGGCATAAAAAATAGTAAAATCAAGTACAATTAAAAATTGCTGGAGAAAAACGGGTATTTTACCAAATTTAGAAGACGATTTTGACCAAAATACTATTGATAGCGATATCAATGAAATTACTTTAGAATTACAAGACATTAAAGATGTGATATGTAATTATTTTTAAAAGGTTGTAAGGTTGCAACTATTACAACATACATACAACACTTTTGTTGTAATTGCAACACAATATTATAATTATTATATAGTATTATAATACTATTAGTATTGTAATTATTATATAGTGTTGTAATTATTTTTAATTATACAAATATGTATTATAATATATTAATTATTTCTTTTTATGATGATATTTATTCTATAAAAACTTATTTTTATAATTTTTATTTTTCAAAAAGAAAATTTTTGAATAATCATAAGTGTTGTAATATTACAACACTTTAAATTTAAAAGTAGTAATAGATTGCAACCCTTACTATTACAACATAAGGTAGTAATTATCAATTACATACTACATCTTTACAAGACATTATTAATGAATTAAATTTACAAGATCCTATTACAGCTAAGAAGTTTATTTGTATTGATGACGAGATTCCAATAGAATCATTATCAGATAAAGAAATTATAGATGCGATAATTTCAAATCCTAAAAATAATAATATAGAAGAGGATGAAGAATCTGAAATAAATATTATTACTAATAAAGAGGCTTTGAATAGTTTTAAAAATCCATCCAATGATATTACAATTAATTACACAGAATTGAAATTTCTTAATATTTTAAAATCAAAAATTAACAAAAAAATTCAAGATAATGTAAAGCAGTTTACATTAGATAGTTATATGAACTTATGTTAAATACTTGAAATATATAAATACATAATTGTTGATAATAAAATTCAAAAAACTTTCGTTAAAAGAAACTTTTTTTTGTGTTAATATAAAGTTTACTATAAAGAGAACTTTTGATTTTGTAAATATTCGTTATAGTAAACAAAAATGACTGGAACCAAGGGTTCACTATAACGAGCTTTGACTGTATCTATTTATATTAGCTAATGGATATCAGTGTACAAAATCTATTCAAAATTTGCCAGATTTCTAAAAGGTTTTTAAAAAATCTGGTAAAATTTTTTAAATCATGAATAATTTCAGACATTTTACTTATTTTTTAAAAGATTTCCAGAATTTTTCTAAAAACTTTTTATATACTGGTAGATATCCAATTTTATTTTAGATTATTTATTTTAAGTAATATTAAATTTTAATTTATACATGCCACCCAAATTATTTTGGGCTGCCGTAATTATAAGTAAAATCCCAAATTCAATTATGACATCCCAAATTATTTTGGCACTTTACATAGTAAATTATATATAAATTGAATGAATTATGTTATTCTAAATTATAATTATGTCATCCCAAAATAATTTGGGCAGCATGTATATTTTAATTTAAACTAATATAATAAATCTTTAGTGTTTCACTATATGAATTATAAAATATTAAAATATAACATGTTTATTATTTTTATTTTAGTATTATATAACTAGTATTTTTGTAATTTACTATTTTTATATTTTGACAATATAATATAATTTTTTGATTTCTTTTTTTTCAAATATACCATTTAATGAAAATTCCATCTAATCAGTAAAAAAAAAATAAAAGCTTTAAGAAAAAAACCTAGTTAAATATAAGAATATTTTATTGAAAGACATACTAATAATGATAAACCAGCTATTATCTATTAAGTAAAAAAAGAAAATGATATGAAATGTAATATAAAACTTAAACATAATAGATTAATAGGTAAAGATACTATCAGATCTAATATTTTAAAGGGAGAGAAATAATTAAAAATCTTAGGTTACATATAATACTATATAAGGAATTATATATATAATATATTTTATTTAAAAAGGAGGGTAAGCTTTTATATTAAAAGTGATATTAGGTAATATTTAATAGTATTCTAATGGAATTAATCATTTATGGTCTATTTATAAAATAATTAATAACTAGTATAAATACAGTTATGAAAATTTTGAGCCATGTAACTATATATAAATATTTAATAAAAAAATACATTTGCATTTTTATTATTATATTATATATTGTCATTTCTAAATTATAATATTATATTACAACAAAAACATTATTTTTTTGAATTTATTAATATTTTTGAAAAATATGCAAATCATTAATGTTAAATTCTGGATTATTTTACTGCTCAAAATAATTAATAAAAATTTTTAATGCATTAATTCCTTGTTTTTTTGATATCAATAGTTAGTGCTTTCTATGAACTATTTCAAATTAAACAAGTTTTACTTAAAAAGACAAATCTTTACCAATTCTATTAGCTAAAATTATAATTAATCAATTAATTAATAAGGCTTGATAACATTTGCAAAGTTTAAACTTTTTTAAGCAAGGTTTAATTGGCTTAAAATAACTGATAGAGAGCATTACTAATAGTATTTCTTTATCAGAATCATTATTTTTACCTTTATTATTTTCATTTTACACTAAATTAATAATTTGTTTATCATTAAGTTGTTCTTTAATTGAATATTTTAATTAAATATCTGGAGATATTCTTATAATTTATTTACTTCTAGTAAATATTTAAGTTTAATTTATCTGATTTATTTATTTTAAAATCTTATATATTACTATTATTTACAAGAAAATTAGAAGCTAAAAGTATATTTATTTTTTTTTAACAATTTTAGATGGTTGTTAGAGTGATATTTTCTAATGTTTTAATTATATAGTTAATGGCTTTCTTAATATTTAATTTATTTTTAAATAAAAATTAATATTCTTTACAGAAACTTTAAGTTTTCAAGTGATATCATTTTAATATCATTTTGATATTGATTTAATATTGATTTAATATTGATGCAATATCAAAATAAAATATTATCACTTTAATATTAAAATGATATTGAAATAGTATTAAAATGATATCAAAATGATAATAGAAATGACATCAAAATAACATATTTAAGTTTAACTTAAAGATGTCATTTCAATGTCATTTTAATTATCATTTCAAATATTATTTCAATATTAATTTAATATCAATATAATATCAAAATGATAATACTTTATTTTGATATTGCATCAATATTAAATCGATATTAAAATGATATCAAAATAATATCAAAACAATACTGTTAAGATAAACTTAGATTTAAAGCTATGGATAATTCTAATATTCATTAGCTATTAAAGGAGAATTCTGGAAATCTAATATAAAGGTTATAATAGACTTTTGGCCAAAAATACCATTTTTTGTTAAAATTCAAAAAATTGTCTTTTATAAATATCTCAATATCTAATAATTTAATTTTAATAAACTTTTTTTTTATTTTTGTAGTTCTCATTTAGCTTTACAATTTAATTAAAATTGGACTACTAAATGCTGAAATATTTACAAAAATTTATTTTTTGAGCCTTTAAAAAAATGGATCAATTTGCCAAAAGTATAATTTATGACCTGTTTTAAAGATTTTTGGAATTTTATTAAAGATAAGTAATTGTATTTAAAGGAAAATAATAAGTTTGATATTAGTAAATTTAATATTAAGTTTTTTTTATCATTTTTTTTTTTAGATTTTGTTTTACTTTGAACTGAATGAAAAAACTTTGCAATATTTTTTTCATCAATCTTACTTATGTTTTGATCAAATATTTTTGATTAAAATAAGATTTCACATTATCAATGAAAGTAAAAATTTTCAATCTATTATATAAAACCAGTTAAATATCTGATCTCATTTATAATTTAGAATTAGCATAATAAGTTACAGAAAGAGATGTCTTATTAATATTTTTAAAGTAGCAAAGATTAAATTACAAGTGATAAAAATTTGTAAAAATCTGTAAAATTACTATATAAAAAATTTAAAAGATAACTTTTATCTTAAATTATAATTATAAAATATATTAAATTTAATATAAAAATAAATAAAGTGTAAAAATAAATCTTAAACTAAAAGTATAATTTAGTTCTATTCAAATAAATAGTCCTATTTTATCTATATTGTAAATATCTTCTTTATTATATTTAGCCAAAAAAAACATATAAATGTAGATATTTTTCTAAAAGAATTTCAAGTAATGCACTATTATTTTTTGATTTTTTGAAAACTAAACTTATAAATTTAGCCATTAGTATAATTTAACTGATTTTTTATATTTAATATTTTAGCAAATTTTTTTTCTTTTTCTGTAATATTATATTAGTTAACAAAATAGATAAAACAGTTAGCTATTTTTTTACATTCTTTCCATATTTTATTAATAATTATTCTATACTATCAATACCAAAATTTTATGTAATAAATAATAAACTGTATAAATTGCACATACATATTATATATACTGCATTAATACATATATATTTTATAAATAATCAAGTTATATAAAATGATGTTAAATTATATGATATAATTATATTTTTATCATATGCATAATTGTAAAAAAGCTGGAAGGGTGTAATTATATATAAGATGACTATAAAGAAGACTGAATGTATTTATTATTTAATTAAAAAAAATGATGATTAATACAATTAAATAAATTTATTTTATTTAATTTGTAAAAATAGGATAAATAATAAAAATTCAATGTAACTAAAAAAATAAAAAATATCATCCACAATTTTCAACAAAGCAAAGTTTCTTAAAACAATATACATTTATTGATCACTCCTTTTTTTAATAATATAGAATAATATCAAAAAATTTTTGCTAAGATATAGGATATTTTCAATCTTAAAGTCTTAAACTATATAAAAAGATCATTAATACTGAAAATGTTAAAAAATTTAAATGGAAGTTATATAGCCAGTTTAAAGAATTTTTTTTTATAAGAATTTAATAGTTTTATTTAAAATTAAATATTATAGAGTAAAATTTCAGGCAAAATTGAAAATGTAAAATTCTGCCTGAAATCTCGTCTAATGCTGGTATGGTTATAATTATTAAAATAGGTTCACAGTTTTAATATAGATTACCAAAATAACCATGATATTCGAGCGTAGACAAAATTTTTTAGAGAAAGCAATCGATAATGCAACTCGTTTGTGTATTGCACCCCCTGAAGATTTAAATTTACATGTGATTCAATTATGTCAAAAATTAAAAGCATGAAAGCATAATGAGAGTAAACCGAATTAGTAATTTCTTCCAAAATTAGTGTATTATTTTTTATATGCGTTTGCTAAGATTATGCCAATGGTAAATAAATTAATATATCTAGACAGCACAGTTTTTTTAGAAATTTGCTCAACTTTATTAAAATAAAAAGATATGAAATAAATGTATGAAAATATAAAAGGGAAAAAAAAAATAGTACGATATTTACAAACAAAGATTATAAAGAAGTACAATATATAAAGAAAAAAAAATCATAGTAGTAAATTAAAGTCCAGGATAAATGGCAATAATGATCTAGAGGGAAGAGATATATAGCGAACTTTGTTGTATCGTAATGTGTGGGCTAATAAAGAAAACGTGTTAATTTTTTTTTTAGATTATTTGTTTCGTACACTATAATAATAAAATAATAATATGTTATAAATAATATAAATAAATAATAATAATATTAAATTATAATAAGAGAAGGAAAAAATTATAAAATTGAAAGAAAAATCCGAAGCATGGCATGAACTAACTTTTTTTTTTTTTAAAAAAAAGAGAAAATGAAAAATAATGATAATTATTATTATAATGAAAATTAAAATATTTTTTTTTTTTATATTTTTTTAAGAGCGCAGAAATGTTTTTTCTTTTGAAAAAAAAGGGGGGAAAAAGGATATATCGATCATTTGTCACTTTCTCTTCTCACACATACACTCTCAACTAAATAAAACCTGTTAAAGGTGATAAAAATGATGCAATTCATTTTGCTTTTCCTTCAAAGAAAAAAGAAAAGAGGAAAGGAGGAAATCGATTAATTATTGAAAAAGATTTGGATTTGTTGATAATTGGATTCAAAAAAAAACAGAAAAATTAATTCCTCTTTTTCCCTTTTTTTTAAAAAAAAAAACATTTCTGCATTTTAGTATAAATAAAAAGTTAGTTGTTTTTTTAATATAAGTAATGTATAAAGAGAAGAAAAGGAAGATTCCCCCAACTCACTTTTTTTCCAAAAAAAAAAGAAAAAAACATTACACAAAAAAAAAATATTTATTACATTTTTTTTATGGATTTTTTTAATAAAAAAAGTTATATTTTTTGTTTAATGAAAAATAATTAAAAGTAATAATAATAATTTACTAAATAAAAAAAAAATTTTTTGATTGGTAAGTAAAAAGAAAAAGAAACGTTTATCTTCAATGTTTTTTGTTTGTTTTCCAAGCTAGTTGGAAAATAAAGAATGAAAAAAAAGTGAGTGGGATGTAAATCAATACAATAAAAAAGAAAGAGGCGTAAAAAAAATTATTTATCATAATATACATAAGGGAAAGGGTGGAAATGACGGGTAATAACAAAAAGGAAAATTTTTGTGATAATTGTCTATCGGCAGTCTAATATATAACTAAAACTATTTTTCGCTAAAAAATTATATATATATTTTTTTTAAAAAAAAAAAAAAAAAAAT